GTGGTGGCTTCATAACAATCCACTATCTTAAGAAAAATATTTTTATTTGGAAAGAGCTACAGTAGTCAGCTATTACAGTAATAATGCCACTTATTTTTTAAATGGACATAAACCTCTTACTGTTTTACTCTATTTATCCAGCTTTATACTCACAGGGCTGTAATCTGCTTATTTCAGACTAGATTTATCCAGATTCAAATTAAAGCACAGAGTTCTGACTGGGGTTCAGATTTAAGTGCTGACTGAAGGAGCAGGAAAACTCTGTTAAATTCTCAGGTAAATGCCAAGTGAGTCATTACATCACATTGACTCTTCCACTCAATGCAGTTGCCTGCTCTGGAGAAACACACTCCACCCATGGCAAAGGCACTGTAAAATATAGCAAGCGCAGGGTGTGGGGATGGAGTCCACCCATAAGGAACTGAATAATTGGGATGATAATGTAATCTCTATGGGAAGGAAAGTATGAGAATGGCCTATCGTATCGTGTTGTTACTGAACCAGATGTTTTGTTTGCTTATTTGGTCATTATCGGAAGCTGACTTAAGCTTTTTAAAGGAGTTCAGCTTATTAAAATGAAAAAGTTACTCATTCACTGGCTGGTTCTTCCTCTTGAATATCTTACTTTAGTGGCAATAGAGAAAGAGGAGAAATAACCACAGTCTCTCCCTAAATATCAGGCCCGTGATTCATACTTGTCATTGAATATTCCCGAAGTTCCTGATTCTCAACAAATACCAGTCCTATCACAAATTCTTTGTTTAATAAAACCTACTTTTCCTTAGTGTCTCATTATCATTTTCTCATTGGATTACAATGGTGTTTTTCTTCTTTGTAATTCTGAAATCAATATATATTAATATCGTGAGACTGAACCTAGTGCCCTTGGGCTGGGTAAGTGCACTACCAGTCAACTGTATCCTTAGTCTTCTTTCCACGTTGATTTTGAAGTAGGATCTCATGTGATTCTCAAGATGGCCTCAAATCTTTTTTGTAGCCCAAGCAGACCTTAAGTAGATGATCCTCCTGCCCCAATCTTCCAACAAGCAGGGATTACAGGTTTACACCACTAGATTATGAAGCTTCTGTTAGATTCAACTTAAGTTGCCTTTCAAATTTCCTAAATTTAACTAAACCAATTTGATTTTTAAATAAAACTTTTCTCACAAAGTTCTGGAGGCAGAAGCATCTTATTTTAAGAGGGAAATCTGAGTGTGTCTGTGCTTAGAGGCCCCAGATACTGAGTTTCTGGCTGCCATTGACAAGAGGGTAAAACTCAACTATCTGTAGTTAAGGTCTATGTACTTTATGCCTCTATTTCATTAAGTTCTTACTTCGGGAACCTCCAATTTCCTGCGTCCTTTCCCCAGCCAACCTTCTATGTTTATAGAATCCTAATATTCAAAGGATAACATGGGTAGATTGTAAGTCTAGGAACAACTTGTACTACCTATCAAGATACTTGAAGATGAAGTTTTTGTTCTACCTGGTCCCACAGCCATTTAGTCCCAAATAAACACACAGAGGCTTCTATTAATTATAAAAAGTTTGGCTGGTGGCTCAGGCTTCTTATTAGCAGCTCTCTCTTAATTATTAGCCTATTTCTATTAAACTACATATCTCTACATGGTCTTGGCTTACTGGAGAATGCCCAGGCATCCTACTTTCCCAGTGGCTACATGGTGTCTTTTGGGCGACTCCTCCTCTGTCTTCCCTCTTCCCGTAATTTCCCTAGACTGGTAGCGCCACCTATACTTCCCACCTGGCTACTGGTCAATCAGCATTTATTCATCAACCAATAAGTGAAACATATATTCACAGCATACAGGACATTTCCCATCAGATACTGAATAAGAAACATCAAAACAAAAGAATCATATCCCCCTTTTCTCTTGTTTAAAAATAATTTATTTATTTCTATTTTATGCACATTGGTGTTTTGCCCATCTGTGTGAGGGTGTTAGATGTTGGAGTCATATAAAGTCATTAGCTGCCATGTGGATGCTGGGAATTGAACCCAGGAGCTCTGGAAGAGCAGTCAGTGCTCTTAGCTGCTGAGCCACCTGTTCACTCACAGCCTTTAGAGAGTCATAAACTGTCTTCTATATTCAGCAAATCTTTAAGAACTAGATGAAGTGTTAGCTTTGTTTTAGGCCTTACCTATCTTATATATGGCCTTCCACTGGGTGTTTCAAAGTATGCTATCCAACTATGTCTTACAGAATTTATTTCATTGGGAAGGGAATGTTGCTCTGTGGTAAAGCCCCCCCCCCTTTAATACAAATAAGGCCTGAGTAACATCTTCAGTAAATTCCCAGCACCTTACCCAGTAAGTGCATAAGTGTGTGTGTGTGTGTGAGTGTGTGTGTGCGTGTATGCTACAAATACTCAGTGTGTACATGTAAATATGTATTTCATGAATATTTATTTTTATTGTAAACATCAAAAGACTTTTAAAATTTAGATGTGTTAAGAACTACTAAAAATAGAGTAGATCTATGGTAAATAGTGTTTTCCCTTTCTTAAAAGAATATTGCTCATATTTTGTGTTTATGTCTTGAAATAATTATTCCTTCCTTAAGTCTAAGGGGTATTTTTTCAAAAATACTAAATTATAGAAATTCATTTCATTACTTCTCTCTTACTGTAGAGCTTGCATGTCTTTGAGGGTCATTTTTCAAACCTTATATCTTGCTCACAAAATATACATTATGAAATTAAGTTATGGGCAACATAATTGTAATAGAACTGCATTTTTATTTTGAAATTATCCAATGAACAAGAAAAGTGTAACTACAGTTAATAACAATAAAAAAGAACCACAAAGCAGGTAGTGTTTTGCTAATATCAGTACCTAATGTTTGTGCTAAGGATATTAAATGGCATTGTCTTAACTGGCCCGATGTCAACATAGCAGTTACACAGTCATTCTTTATGTAGATACTGTTTTCTTCTTTTTGTCCTTTGTAAGTTATTTTCCATCAGGAATCCAATTCCAAAGAACCATACACATCAACCAAATAATGCTGCAAATAAGCTCACCCTGCAAAGGGATGCCAGGGGTTAAGTCACAATGGTCTTTTTTGTTCCTTCTCCTTCTTTTAAAGGAGGGTAGCTTCTTGTCTGATCTCCTTATGGTCCTTGTCACAAGTCCGTGGCTTTTAATCACTCATCCGTCCTGTGACTTACAGCACTGCAGGCACCACAATAACGCTCCAGCTTGTGTGGGTGATCTCCCTGATAAAATCCCGACAGCCTCTCAATATAATGGGAAGACAATCAAAATAAAAAATGCTTGAAGGGTTCAGGTAGTGGGGCATACTATTTATTTTTCACTACGTGCAAGGATATTAAAATACTGAATTTCATACTTTTGATTGAGTTCGTGATGAAATCCAAGAAAAAAAATGAAAATTTGAATTATTCCACTGCCAGTAAAGACTGTATATCATGAAAAGAAAGCCAGGCTTTGTCACCAAGTCTGTATCGTGATGTGCAGAGTGATAAGCTGTCTGTCCTTTTGTTTAAGTTTCTGTAAGGTTTCTAAGTAATTAATTTGCTGTATGGGTCTTTTATATTCTAATCACCATGTAGGACTTGGTAAAGATACGTGATGATTTAATGGTGCCTGGTGTTGCAGCGGTTCAGATCTTTAAGGTACTTTCCATGGAATTGTCTCACTGGGGAGTAAACAGTGGGGCTCTTAGAATTACCCCACCTGCCCTACGCTCTGCTTCTGTCATTTCACTACTCCCCTTTCCTTCCTTGAGAGGAGTCAGTTTGGTGCAGAGGTAGGATAGAGCACAGTGTGTGAATCCAGATACTGAACTCCACCTTTGTCTTGTTGAATTAACTTGACTTAGGGATCATTTTCCCTGTTCTATGCCTTGGCTTTCTAATTGACAAAATAGGAAAATGATGCACTGTATTCCCCAAGTTTCTAAGATTAGGTCAGGCACAGACTGGAAACCATGAACAGGACACAATGGGTGTGTTTGCTTCTTTCAAGGGAAACTAGAGTGTTAGAAAGAAAACAGACTTTGCTGTCTCTGCTTCTGAGTTACAGATTTATGAAGACAGGCAAGTTTTCTCAGCTTCATTGTCTTGTATGGAAAATGGACATAATTCTATGTGTCTTTTGTAGCTGTTGAAAACATTACACATGTGTTGATCTTATCACAGCTCCATACACCAAAAAAGAGTGCTCTAACCTTATTCTGTATTCTTTATCCCCCCCTCACCCCACCCCTATTCCTTCTTTACATTTGGAAACTGTGTGGCATAGAAGGTAGGACTCTGTCTGAAGTCAGAAGACTACTGACATTTTATGCTTTAAAAAGAAGTCCTGAGAGAGCAAATGGCTTCATGGATAAGAGGACCTGAGTTTAAATCCCCAGTACTCACACAAAAAGCCATGGAGGCTTCATGTTCCTTTACCCCTCCACTGGTTTGGTGGATGAAGACCAGTAGGTCCTAGGATGTTGATGACAGTCAGTGTAGGTGAAATGGCAAGATTCAGATTCAGTACGAGACTACATCTCAGAACATGAGGTGATGAGCAACAGAAGACACCTGACACCCTCTTCTGGCCTCCACAGGTGTGAACATGGATACTCACACCTGCACGCATGCACACACACACACACACACACACATACACACACACTCATGCAAATGCACATTTGCACACACACGCATGCACACTCACACACACATACACACACTCATGCAAATGCACATTTGCACACACACATGCATGCACACTCACACACACACATACACACAGAGAGACATTCACACAGGCATGCCCACACATTCAGCACTGAGGTTTGTTTGTTTTTCCTTCAAAGCCATTTATAGGCTTTAATTGTGGCAGCAGAAAGACATGTAAGGAATTGCTTGTTAGAGAGAGGAGCTTGTCATATTAGGAAGCACTGGCTTACCACTTCAGACCTTGTCTGGTAGGGTCACTGACATAGCTCAATCCCTTCTTTTCACAGAGGAGGAACCTGAGTTTGAGTGAAGTGAAGAGACTTGGGTGCCTGACCCCACAGAGCTGGTGAGTGAACAACCATGCCTGCGGCTCAATTGGGTTTCTCTTGACTGGTTCCTTTAGTAGCGGAAAGGACACAGTGCTGATGTGGACAGCTAAGATTCCACACCTGAAAGTCAGCACACCAGCCGGGCGGTAGTGGCGCAGGCCTTTAATCCCAGCACTCGGGAGGCAGAGGCAGGCGGATCTCTGTGAGTTCGAGGCCAGGCTGGACCGACAGCCTCGAAAACAATACAGAGAAACCCTGTCTCGTAAATACCAAAAAAAAAAAAAAAAAAAAAAAAAGAAAGTCAGCACACTGTTCCTTAGTGTACAATGGAACGTGTAAAAGATGAGGGAAGGGAAATGGGCCTAGAGTAGCTGCGAAATGAGTAAAAAAATTTGACATTTTGAGAAGAGCAAGGCAACCGCTGCTATAGAGTAGTATCTTGTGACTTTCCCGGGGAATGTGTGAATCGAAGTCTGTTCACTCCAGCCACAGCACCTAGTAAAGGTGAATATTAAAGTTTGAGGCATGTGGATAATTTGAAAAACATGAAACAAAATCAAAATCATGGTAAGTTTTCCATTTTTATAACTTTGTGAAGCAGAGAATATACTGGGCTTAGGTGCAGTTGTATGGGTGAGGAGACAAATGTACTGAGATTAGTTACAGGCCTGTGGGTGAGGAGTTACAGAGAAGAGGTGCCCCAAAGATGGCTACATGGATGAAAAGCCCAATGTGCCATCGTGGATGACCACTCACAATACTTGCTTCTTGAGAATTCTCTTCACATCTTGTAAGCAACTTGGCTACAAGAGGATGCTGCTGCTGCTGCTGCTACTACTACTACTACTACTACTACTACTCACACACACACACACACACACACACACACACACACACACACACACACACACTAAACAGGATCTACACTGGAAACCACAAGAGGGCAACAATTTGCTTCCTTTGCTCCTGTTCCTCACTTTCAATGCAGAATCTACATTTTTTGTTTGATAGCTTCTTTTTAATTAATTGAGCAAAGCAATAGCTGAAGGAGGCTTTAGAGTAGTTCAAGGAAATGAGAAAGGCCTTAGAACATGAGATGAGAACATTTAAATTGTTGATGCTTATCATGTTTTGGTAAAATGATATACTGAATCTATTTTAAAACATTAACCTGTCAGGTATAGGTACATTGGATTGGAATTGAAAAGATTAGAAAGAACTGTGAAGATATCTCAGCTTCTAATTTTTTTTATGTGTTTTTGTGTGGTCATCCACAAGGGTAGAGGCCATGATTCTAGAAAGTGGATTATGATACAGAAGGGGATGGTTTTCAGAAGATATGGAAGGCAGTGAGTAAGAAGAGGCTTCCTGGGAGGAGAAGGATATTGGGGATGGGAAAAGCAAAGAGGACAGGGGGTGGACCAATTAAAATTAGGTGTGCAGCAAAACACCATAAGGGAATGGGTTACTTTGCATGTGTGCTGGCTAGTTTTATGTCAACTTGATGCCACCTAGAGATATCAGTTATCAGAGATCACCAGTTGAGAAAATGTCTTCATAATCTCCAGCTGTAAGTCCTTTTCTTAATTAGTAACTGACGGAGGTGGGCCCAGGTCATTTCCTGCCCTGACTTCTTTCAGCTATGAACAGTGAGTGACATGAAAGTATAAACCAAATAAACTGTTTCCTCCCCAAGTTGCTTTGGCCATGGTGTTTATCACAGCACCAGTAACCTTAAAACAATATGCCAACTAAAAATTGCATAAAATTTTGTAAAAGAGGTTAGTCAGTTTAAGGGGAAAATGTTCAATGACGAGGAAGAGAAGAGAAGCTAGGAGAAAGTCTTTGTGAAGATTGGGAGAATTTCTGTAGCGAGGAGGGACGGCCAGCAGGGAACAGTGGACATGAAGTAGAAAGAATCCTTCTGAAGGCGTCAACTTATTAGTGGAGAAGCAGCCTGTGGAAGAAAAGCAGTCCCTTCCACTTACAGCCCAGATCAAGGCTGGTGTGGAGTGAAGCTGACATTGCTTGTCCAACACAGCATCATGCATCATTAAGTTGAAGGCTGTAAAATTGCAGCTCGCACAAATGAAGTGGCATTCACCTGATGCTTTCTGTGCGTAAAACATTTTCTTTGCCATGAAGGAAGATATGTTTTATTGACCATATCTGTTTTGACTATACTACGTCTGCTTGAGAAATTATATGACTGTTTCTGGTTTAATAGAAAATTTGGAAAATGGGAAGACTGAATACTGGTTGAAAATTTTAGATTCATATTCTACTTAAAATGGGTTGGAGACCTTTTCAGTAAACTAGAACATCAAACACAAAGGACCAATGTCCACATACAAATTGAGCTTTACTTTTTAGATTGAATTTACTCAATATTCATAGTAAATTAAGAAAGCAGTGAAGAACTTTAAAAATTATACTTATTATTTTAAGAAAAATGACTTATTTACTTTTAAAAGAGAGACTAAATAACACCTTTCTACTTATTACAGAAATCTGTGACATCCAGCATTATAAATGTCACAGAAGCATTTATATGAAAGTCCATAGAATTAAGAGAAAAATTTGAGCACACATGTATATATACAGTGTGTGTGTGTGTGTGTGTGTGTGTGTGCACATGCACACATACATGCAAAAACACCTCTGTTTCTAGGCGTTATCTGGTACAAAGGTCCCTCATTTAAGCCTTAGAACAAAATAAACATGTGATGTTATAGTTATTTTATTGAACTTTCTTATTTTATGACCCACTAATGGCTCATGGAGCAGTTAAATTGATGAACACTAAAAAACTACAGCTTCAATGAGGTTGGTTTTTAAAATTTATTCATTCATTGTTTTTATTTTTAAATGCCGAGAAAATGCTTAGTTCCCAGTCTTGTTTTCCATTTACAGTAAACCACAAAAGTATAATTTTTTATTAGGGAGAAGGAATTAAAATATGTTGTATGTATCCAACAAGCAGCGTGTACATAATTTTCAAAATTACTTTTAATTTCCAACAGAAATTATTGTGCTTCTAAGCATGAATGTGTGTCTTACCACCAACTATGCAATATGAGATTTATTTTGCTTCTTTCACTTTTTAGGCTGAAATTACTAGAAAAACTACCTGGTGAGGTCAGTTACATTTGTGATGAGCTAATATAACTGAAGGCTTGCTTTCAACAGTTGATATTCCATGTGCTTTCCTTACGGGTTATTCGCATCATATTTCATGCTGTGGACAGTTCCATGGTAAGGGTTCCTTTGTTTCTAACTGTTTTTGCAAGTGTGCATGCAGCTTCATCCCCAAATAAACAAGGTTGGGATAGAAGTATATATCTCAGTTTAATCTTCCCAATTTGGCTGGTGGGTTAAGTCTTTTCAGCCTTTCTGTGTCTTAGCAATAGATGAGTGAACAGAGGTCAGAGAGTACCTCGATTTTCATGAGCTAAAGGACAGGAATAAGAGTAAGTGCCCATCACCAAGTATTAGCATTTCTATTGCTCATGAGTAGATTGAATTTGAAAAATAAGCATGAAATATTGTTTTGTTTTATCTAGTTAGTTTTAGCGAGGAACCTTAGCCCTTCCCCTATTAACTCAGCAATTTACGAGGTTAAGGTGGATTGGACTGCTGTGTTCACAGTTTAAGGCCAGTTTGGGCAAGAAAGCATTCATCCTAACAACAAAGAAGAAAAACAGAGATTCTGTGTAGTGATCGATAATATGGCCTGCCTAGATTTAAAGTACAACTAAAAATTGAAGAGTGTCGAAATTAGCCCAGCTCCTTCAAACTCCTTTCCTTATCCATGTCGTGTTCACTGATAGCATCTTCAGCCGAGTTAGTGTGAGTGAAAGAGAACATTTGTCAGTTTGGCTTGAAGAATCTTAAATATTTTATTTATTTGTTTTTTAATATTTTTTTTCAATTAGAAACAAGCTTCCTTCACATGTCAATCCCAGCTCCCTCTCCCTCCCCTCCTCCCCTACCTCCCAACTCCCCCAACCCCCCATCTAATCCCTACTCTCCTTCCCAGGGAGGGTAAGGCCCTCCATGGGGGATAGCCAAAGTCTGTCATAAATTTTGAGGCAGGACCTAGGCCCTCCCCCATGTTTCCAGGCTGTAGAATGGGCTCCCAGAATCCATTCCTATCTATTACCTGAGGCTCAATAGATTGCTGAGGCCTCCTCAGACACCAAAATTTAGGGGGTCTGGATCAGTCCCATGCTGGCCTCTCAGCCATTAGTCTGGGGTCCATGAGCTCCCCCTTGTTCAGATCAGCTGCCTCTGTGGGTTTCTCCAGCCAGATCTTGACTCCTTCGCTCATCACTCCTCCTTCTCTGCAACTGGGTTCCAGGAGTTCAATTCAGTGTTTAGCTGTGGGTGTCTGTCTCTGCTTCCATCAGCCGCTGGATGAAGGCTCTAGGATGGCATATAAGGTAGTAAAAGCCATGTTATTATGAAAGAGTAAACCATTTGACACACACGTATATGCTCACTAAAATCAATGTGTTTATACAGTGGATTTTCTAATAAATACATTTTTCTTTTTTCATATATTTTTTATTTAACTTTTTACACATGTCACTTTCAGTTCCCTCTCCCTCCCCTCCCTCCCTCACCCCCCAATCCTCCCAGCCCATCACTCCCACTCCACCCCCCCTCCACTCCCCAGGGAGGGCAAGGGCCTCCATGAGGGATTTTCAGGGTCTGTCACATCATCCCAGGAAGGGCGCAGGTTCTTCTTCATGTGTCCAGGCTGAGATAGCATCCCTCCACGTGGTATAGGTTCCCAAAGTCCTTCTGTATGCCAGGAATAAATACTGCTCCACTCTTCCAGGTCCTCCAGATTGCCAAGGCCTCCTCTCTGTCACCTAGGTTCAGTGGGAGGGTGTCTGGATCAGTCCCATGCTGGCCCCTCAGTCATCAGTCTGGGGTCCATGTGTTCCCCCTTGTTTAGGTCAGCTGCCTCTGTGGATTTGCCAGCCTGATCCTGATTCCTTTGATCATCACT